AGCAGGCATCCACCCAGAGCATGACTTACTCAGATAAGGATGAAAGGGAAAGTGTCTTGCCCAATGGACGTAGCATTTCTCTGATGGACCTCCAGGATCCTCACACGGCTCACAGTGACCATGCTTCTGTTATGCACGATGTGCCTTTGCGCTTGGCCGGCAGCCAGCTCTCTATCACCCAAGTAGCAAACATCAAACAGCTGTGGGAAACTCAGAGCACACCCCAGAGCGCTCCCCAGGTGAGAAGGCCTCTGCACCCAGCTTTGAACCAACAGGGCAGCCTCCAGCCTCTGTCTTTCCAGAACCCAGTTTACCATCTCAACAACCCAACCCCTCCGATGCCGAAAGCTTCCGTGGACTCCAGCCTGGAGAACCTGAGCACCGCCAGCTCCCGGAGCCGAAGCAACAGCGAAGACTTTAAACTTAGTGGACCCAGCAACAGCAGCATGGAGGACTTCACCAAGCGTAGCACGCAGAGTGAGGACTTCTCCCGGCGCCACACGGTCCCAGACAAACACGTCCCCATCGCCCTGCCCCGCCAGAACAGCAGCAGCCAAGCGCAGATCCGCAAAATGGACCAAGCCGGGCTGGGTGCCCGGGCCAAGGCGCCGCAGTCCCTGCCGCACAGCGCTTCCCTGCGCAGCACGGGCAGCGTCTCGGGCATCTCGGGGGCCATGGTCACCGAGCCCATGCAGAACGGGAGCCGATCCCGCCAGCAGTCCTCCTCCTCCAGAGAGAGCCCTGTCCCAAAGGTCAGGGCAATTCAGCGGCAACAAACGCAGCAGGTAAGGAAAACCATTTTTTTTAAAGAAAAAAATAATGTAAAAAAAAAAATTTCTCTATTTACAAAGGTAAATGAAAGAAACAGAACTTGAAAATTTCCCTGAATTAAAAAAAAACAGAAGCAGTTTTGTTCCAGATCTTACATAAAATCACCACATGAGAATGCATTTGCCCCGCAGTGCTAATTTAAAAGCATAGCTACTTAAAAACAGACAAATAAACAAAGATAAAACATCGTAGAGTGAACTGCTGCCAAAATAACAGAGAAGTACAGTTGTGTTAAGTGTGGAGAAATCTATATTTCACCATGATGCAACAATCTATTGCTGGTCCCCAAATAAATACTGCTTTTTCATTAATCATCCCAAACTATGAATAATGCAAACGCTTTCTGGAAAGGAGTGCTTATTTATATCAGCTCCTAATGCACTTTATCAGTTGTTCATAGGCTACTGTAAATCAAGATTTTCCTGTCAAAAAGCCAACATTCCTTTACCTTAAAAATAAGAAAAAAAAAGAAAAAAATCCTGTTGTGATTTGCTGTATATGAAAATCTTTTCCTAAATTAGTTTAATGTTAAAGAGAAAATGAGTATTTAAATGCTTGGCACTACAGCAAAGGTAGAAAATGTCTCAATCTGCAGGTCAGAGGGAAGGTGGTTGTTTTTCAAAATGTCATGTTAGTGCAGACAGACTTACCAGCTGGGCAGGGTGAGGCTCCTGGAGACATCACCAGCGCTGTTCCTTGGGGTTAAGCATTTTCTTCTGTGGTCACTGTGAGAGTAAACATGGTCATGTTTGTTTTACCTTACCCTAGTATTGAAGGAAATTTTTTAAGCTCATGCTTTCCACAAGACCTTCTGGAAAGGATGCTGCTCTGCACACAGGCACGAGGGAGGAATTTCACTCAAGAACGTTGCAGGCCCTGAGGTTGGGACTGCTCCACGCTGCCGGTGAAGCTACACCAACGAGGAGCCAGAGGTTGTGATCCTCCATGCTGACATAGCCCTGTTGACAAAAGCGCTGGTGAAGACATGGTCATGCAGGGGGAAGGCTTTGGGCTTGTAAGGTAGAGCTGGCAGAAGAACTTAGCTGCCAGCGTGAGCTCCTGCTCTGCCAAAGGTTTTACTGGTATCCCTGTCGGTGTAGCTTCCTTGGCAAACTCCTGACCCTTACAGTCAAAAGGAGGAAAATCTGGATGATGCCTGGGAACCCAGGAGCAATCAGCGCTTCAAAACTACTTTGATACCTTCCAGTTCCTTAAAGTACAGAAACACTGAATCATGAAGCAAAGCCTAATATGCCAAGTTAGTAATACCAAAGAAAAAGGCATATTATTTGAAGGGCGTATGTTTGTTTCCTCCTTTGGAGCATGTGTCTACGTAGAGGGGTTGGTAGGTAAAGTATATTGAATGCAGCTAAGCCTAGTGCAGAGGTGCTGGGAAATTTTTAGGCCAGTAACCAGGATGAATTGGAAGGATAAACTCCCTTTGCAGTGCTCAGGCGTCTGGTGTGAACCTGTGTTGTGTGATCTGCCGAGTTCAAGTGCGTGATTCCGTGCAGTGTCCTGGCCACGATCCCCAGGGAGCTGGTGCCTCTCCTCAGGGCTTGTTATGGGAAGTGCCTACACAAATACACAAAGAAGGCTTTACTTTTAAAGTGTTAGGGTGAGGAGGAGGAAGTACAGGCGGTGTGTGTCCAGTCCTTGTGCCTACACCTTACACAGAGGGCTTCTGCCTTGCCTGTATTTACAAGAAACGTTCTGTTTAGCTGTTTTCAAACCCCTGGCTCTTCTCATCTGAAATTGCTGATTACCCGGTTGCCCCCAAGTACATGAGGTACCTTTGCTTGTGTAGCATCAAAGGGACTGTCTTGGATTTCCCTCTTCTCCAGTTACTCTTTACGTTCAACTTCACAGATGCCTGCAACTATGACTGGCTTCAGGGCAATCTCCTTTCCCCCTCTTGTAGACGATGTGCATCTACTTATTTTTCCACTCTACTTTCCATACTAATTGTTTTCACTGGATTCTTGCATTCTTCCACTGGAGTACTTGCTCCTACTTTATTCAGAGAAATCAATTTGTTCTTTCCTTCCCCACACCCTTGAGAAATGTCTTGAAGTGTGCTACATCAAGGGGACTTTTTTTTTTTTTTGAGGCAAATTCCATTGCGTCCTTTTAATTGCAAATCATGTTGTGGAATTCTGTTCTTATTTTAAAAAGAAAAAGAGAAAAGAGAAGTTGGGCATGTTCTTTCTGGGCATGTTCCTTCTAGGCATGCTTTGTGGGCGTTATAATTATTAGACTCTGTTCTCTACAAGGTCCCATTTGTCTCTGAATATAGAGCTAGGCCCTTTGTTTGCTGGGAGAGGTCAGTTTTTGCCTTCCATTTCCACTGAGTAGGTAGGTGGGAACAGAAATGTCAGTATGTTCCTCTGGAAGAAAGGCAAAGAGAAGAATTAATACACATTCCTAGCAGGCTTTTTCTTTTTTCCCCTTTATCAGAGTATAACTCATAACCCATTAGCACGTGAAGTGCTTGCCATCCACTTGGTCTTTGTAGGCTTTATGAGTTTGGCTGCTGAAAATATTCTGTCCTGTGGCTTGCAAGGTTGTTTGGCAAGGTTTGCTGGTGATCAGCAGTCTGGGACAAGGCTGGTGATGTTTATAGTCAACCTTCTGCTGTCTTAGTTCTCCGTAACTCCAGTGAACGGTGACAGTGTCTGCCCATAGCTGTTCCCAATTTCTCCAGCAGTTCCTAGAGCCAAAGTGTTTACCTCTGAGAAGAGCCTGTTGGTGGCAGAGCCACACACAGTCCGTAGTGTCTCTTGTCCTTTGTCCTGGCTGCCTCACAGCAAATACCAGAGGAGCTGCGCCAAGCTGTCTCACTGCACTCTGCTGTGAAGGCTTGGGACAGCTTCTAGTGAAAAGGCCTCTGCCTAAATCCAGGGATTTTTGCCTAATTCCTACTGCTTTCCTTTGCCTTTATACCTTTATATCCTTGCATGGCTTCTTCCAGTGCTGGAGTCTTCATCACTGCTCAGGACAGCTGGGCCATTGCAGGCAGATCCTCTGGCCAGCGCTGGTGTAGGATGTGTGCAGCACTCACCAACCCTGTTCTCGTGAATGAGACAAACCGAAATGGAGGTTGCCATGATCCCTCACCTGACACATCTGAAGAAGCTGTTACTCCCCTGGTAAAGAGCTCCACAGTGAAACTGAGACTTCAAAATCCCCCTGCCATGGAGCACATCTCACTTTGGTGCAATACTGAAATGAGGCATGGGCTGAAGAGCTGCTCGAGCACAAAAAGAAGCTACAAGTGGAAGGGGGGAAGTTGATCTTTCGCATTTCTCAAAAAGTTAGGACAGTGTTGCTCTTTCAGGGGTAATTATGCTAATTCCTGTGCTTATAAACTTGTCTTTGTCCATGAAAATTGCTTGGAATTTGTAGCAAGCCATATTTTCCCCAGTTAGGCAGAGAGTTTCTTGTTTCTTTTCTTGGCTTCCTTTTTGGATTCCCTTAAAGAAGATAGCCTCTGATGATGTTTTACAGTTCTCCCAGTAAGCACTGCTGGCCGTGAGTTTCTTTTACAGCCTTGTCTGGGTGTACAGCTACAAAAGTCTGATAGGCACTACAGTGATAATGTTACTTTGCCACTTTGAAGTACAGCTGTGCTGTCTCATATCCAAGCCACGCAGCCCCCATCCTCCATTGCACTGTCTGTCTGCAGCCTGGCAAAGAAACCCACTCCGAACTCAAGCTCCTCGGTACTCCAGAGAAAGCAATCTGTCTTACCTGGACAGACAGCTTTGTCGCTCTTTTTTCTTTGTGAGAGAAATCACAGGTTGAGAAAACCTTACTGAAAATCTGGCAAAGGGGAAAGGTGGGTGTGAATGGGATTTGGGAACAAGAGGTTTTCCAGAGAGAAACTCACTTAGTGAGGAAGAAAAAATTCTCAAGTACGTTGGTTTTAGAGGGACTAAAGTAAGTGCTGCGGGTCCAGGCTCAAGGGAGGATAAAGCATTTCTGCAAAGGAGGTTTTGGGGATCCTTTGAGACTGACAGATTCGTGGTCCTTTTTCTCCTCCAAGTAAACTAAATGTTAGAGCTGATCTGTGTGTAGTTTCTTTGACAAATGCTTACAGGTATCTCTGCTCCAGGTTCAGTCGCCCGTGGACTCTGCCACAATGTCACCAGTGGAAAGGACAGCTGCGTGGGTCCTCAATAATGGACAGTATGAAGAAGTGGAGGAGGACGCAGAGCAGAATCCAGATGAAGTCAAGCATGCTGAGAAGGTAGATTTTATTCCATATGGTGCTGGCTTGAGGGCTGACAGCAAGTCCTGTCCACCCCACAGCCGAGTGGAGAACAGCTTTCAGGCGCTGCTGTGACAGTCATGTCGTCAAACACTGGTTGTGTCGGTGTGACTTCCTGCTGTGCGTGCTGTCACACAGATCTGTAGTGCCGTGTCCCATGCTATAGATTAACCCACTACAGGCCACAGCACGTCAAATGGGTGCAGAGTGACATGGCTGAGGGTTTGTACATGAGAGGCTGGTACTTGGCACTTCCTTGCATTATGAGTCACCTGAGCCTATTGGATCCTGCTCAAGTCATTATTTTTTATGACAACACTATAGCTACAGCATACTGCTGTTTTTCTATGCTTGCAAAGTTTTTTAGTGATCATTGAACTCCATTAAATAAAAAAAAAATCATTATTGTTACCTGAGTATAGTTTAGGATATGCTAAGTGATTGTACAAGGCTCTGTAAATGCAATCAATCTTCATCAGTAGTAGTACTCAGATTTTGTCTTGGGTTTCACCTGGGGCAAATGCCTGTCACCTAGGTAGGACAGTGCTTCTGGGTGTCCATGAAACCTCCAGGATGTTTTTTTAAAGCGTATTTATTTTCAGGAGTAGGTAGCATTTTTCCAAATACAGTTATGCTGTATATATGCTGCTGTGGTGATGAAGTTCAGTAAGAGGTTTGGTATTTTGAGAAGGTAGGGAGTGAAGAGGAGAACATTTGCTGGACAAGAAGCAGGAACATAGGATTATTAGGAAAGGTGAATGAACCCAAACCAAAGTGGAATATGTTGAGATTCATTGCCCTATTGCAGAAGTGATTGTCCACAGAGACAGTAAGTAGGAGAACAAAACCTCAGCTGAGTAAACTTACAAACTCTACTCTGTAGTGAATTATTTGCTCTGTGGTTTCATGCCTTGATTAGATCCTGAAGAATGAGTTATTCGGGTCCCATACCGGTCCATTTTGTAAGTTTGGCCACCCCAGAACACTGTTACAGTTCAGCACTGTTAGAAGCTTCTGTCTGGGAACTGCTTGAGTCTGGAGTAACTGGGGATGTTACCGGTCAGGGCTGAGGAGCCATGTCAGGGCCCTCTGACTGCTTAAATTGTGCTACAGAATGACATCCTACAGTGTGGGAATAGCCTGATGCTCAATGGGAGCCTACGTGCTCCTTGTCTGTGGTTGCCCACAGCTGTTTGCTTGTCATTTCCTTTCCTTCTATCAATTTATTCTTCATGAAAAAAAAAAATGTCATTCTCTGAACAGCAGCAGCAGATTATAATGATCTGATCTCTTCCTTTTTCCTTTGCATCTGATTCTTTCCTCCTTCCCTTCCACCTGCAGTACGAACAGGAGATAGCGAAGCTGAAGGAGCGCCTGAAGGTGTCAAGTCGCCGGCTGGAGGAGTACGAGCGGCGGCTCCTGGTGCAAGAGCAGCAAATGCAGAAGCTGCTGATGGAGTACAAATCTAGGCTGGAAGACAGTGAGGAGAGACTGCGCAGACAACAGGAGGAGAAGGACAGCCAGATGAAAAGTATCATCAGCAGGTGAGGCTTTGCGAAGTTTGGGACTGTGTAGGACAAGCAGCTCCCCCGTGTCGTGTGTTCTCTTTGGCATTAAAGAAGGTAGTTGCATGGGCTTCTTGACATCTCTGGACTGCTGCCATCCTGCCTTAGAGATAAAGAAACAGGGATGCAGGTGTGGAAACTTGCTTCAGATTGCCAGGAGACTGAAGGAAAATGTTGAAGAATTTTTAACCCTGGTCTCTGTTGTACTTATAACAGGTCTTTTTTCTTTGTTTGGGATCTGTACTCAAGGCAGGAGTTTTTTCAGAGCAGTTGCATTTTTGGCCATGTCCCTTTTGCAAAGACCAAATTGGGAGTGGCAGATGGATAGATAAGCTTTTCTAAGTGCAGCAGAATCTTTCTCTTGCAGAGCCAGGACAATCAAAGAAGTCAAACCAACAGGCCAGAGTACCTGAAACACTCGAGAATAGTATTAAAGTGTCCTAATTTGTACCTCTTTTTGCTCATCAGACTCATGGCAGTTGAAGAGGAGTTGAAGAAAGATCATGCAGAGATGCAAGCTGTCATCGATGCAAAGCAGAAAATTATTGATGCACAGGTAAGGAGCTCAGGATCTCCAAGAACCGAGTGTTCTGTGTGTAGATCCCTTTATTTCCCCCTGTCCTCCTGCCCCAGCACTGTTACCTGGCTCCCAAGCAAGCGTTGGTCCATGGTGTTGCACATGTGACTTGCTGCCTTCTAGGAGAGAACTGGGGTTTTTTAATTAGTAAAGACTCTACTGTCTGACACTGTGAGAAAGCCTGACAACAAATCGCAGGACTGACTGCTTCTCCAAAACCTTTTCTGCTTTGTGAGGTCCAAAGGGGATAAAGGAATAGTGGTGCATTGTGTAGACATTCCAAGTGTGGGCCTGAGAACTCTGGAAAAGCTGTGCCTTATCCCAGCATAGTTGAATTGCCATGTGCATGCATCTCAGCTATGCAAGCTAAAAGCATGGCTTTGAACGTTGGAGTGAGGAAAAGAGAATGCTTGCAATGGAGCATTGCACTGTATGATGTCATATGTGGCATTTCATCCCATCTGACTGTCCCCGTCAGTCCTGGAGAAATGTCCACTTTGCCACAGACCTGCAGTGCTTGCCTCAGTCCACACAAGTCAGCTGTGGAACGTGGGACCTCGTGGGCAATGCATGTGGGTGTATTGTGTGGGATCATTTCAGCTTCTCTCCTGTGTCTGTGCTGATCCCAGAGAGCAAAGCTTGTTCAACAGAACCTGTGACTGGTTTGGTATCTCCCTGCCATGTTATGTTTGTGATATTTGCACTTGGAGGACATCTTTCTCACTTCTGGGATTTTCACTAGTTCCAACTGTAAACTTCCCTTAACAGAAGAATCACCTTAAGAAGATGATTTGATTCAGGAGTGACCAAAGTTATTGCAGACAGTTGTTTCCCT